TTACCGTTACGCCGTCACCCTCCTTTATATACCAGACTACCCTATATCTAGTAAATACTAGAGCATTCGCCAAAGTACAGGATAGTTCTAGAAAGTTAGAGGGCGTGAGAATCACGTGATCTCGATGACGCAACATTATCAAGTTATTGTCTCATTTGCTTAATAACGCTTGTTGAGTTCTTACAGTTTTGGGTGTAATGGCCATAATAATATTAGTCCCCTCTGTCAAGTTTCCTTTGGGAGGAATTCTTATTCTATATAGGATTTTATCTGCAGTTCCTCGCAATATGTTCTTTCAAGTTTCACTTGAAACACCTATTTTCATGTAGTGTATTTCCTCTGTTCTGTGTAGCTAGTTGTCTAATTAACTTTTCAACTGAAGTGATGTTTGAATACTATAGGATCCGATAATCTCGTAATTTCTAGAGGGTGTCTCTATTGGTTTATCAGAAGCTTTAATCAATTCAAGTTCCATCACCAACTATGGATCTTACTTTAAAAGTGTACACCTACTTTGCTTCCGCTTAATTTCCTATCCTTGTCTGTTATGACATCTAGAAATTGATCGTGTGCCAACAAATCCATCATTTTACGAGGAGCATCTGGGTGAGATAATTGGGCAAGTCTTTCCAAATCATTTGCAAGTTCAGCTAAGGTATTTTCTTTCCTCCGTACACTGTACTGGATACTTCTTTCTGGTTCCGTGTGCCACTCTAAACCTGTTGGATAAAAGAGCTACTAATGCTTGATAGCTGTTATGACTCTCAGTTGGGAGATCAATTAATGTCATTAAAACTGTATACGGGAATAGTGTTTTATATATTATAAATGTGTTCACTGTTGTAGAGTCACGCAAGCGACAATGTGTACTGTTTTGTAAGTCGATATTCTTTTTAAATAAAATATTTTTATTAGTTTTTCTCAAATTACGTTGTTCACCGAATACAGAATGATGACAGAATTTAATATTGCTATTTATTGATTTACTGCATTGCCACTTTGCTTGTTAAAAATTTATGTTCAATTTATCCATGGTGTGAGTCTCAGGAGCCTAGTTTATTTATTAAAAGCTAGAGTTTGGCAAGTTTAATAATGCGCTGTTAGCCTGTCAGCAATTTTATGAGTTCTCTGCAAAATAAATATGTAATCACGAGTAAGATAAAATTCCCATATAGCAATATTTCTGTTTCCAGAATGATTTATTTTAGGCCTTCATTGCACAATGACAAAAATAGAAAAGTTTGAAAAAATTTAGTTACGCATTATAACTCGGAGATATAACAGTATTGGGAAATATTTAGTTTCTTATTATTACGCTAACCTGAAAATCTGTATATAATAACTTTATATCCTCCAACGACTTTACCTTTTATGTACATACATCGTGCCACGTATTAGTATGTTGATTTGTATTCATATTTAATGTTTAGTCAGTAGATGGCGATCAAATCTTCTGAATCTATTTTGTCGACGTCGTGATATTTTACTTTCAGTGCACGAAAAAGTTTAATTCAAAAGTGGATGAACTTATTTGAAGTAAAAACCAGAAGTTAAATAACTATCGATTTCTATATACCTGAACTGGCATGAGGTAGATAATTAGTTTTTAAAATTTGGATTATTTGTGTTCTACATTAGCCATGCCCATAGTCATACTGACACATAGCCTTTATGAATATTGATAACTATTTAAAATAAGTTATTTCTGATCTATCTTGTGTGCGTGAATACAGTTAAGAGTGATTCGCGACTTCGAAAAAAAAGTTTTGAAACAACAAATGTTACCCTCTTTGTCTGGTGAATGCTTTGAGTAAGCATAATAGAAAGTCAAGTACTCACTTTTGAAGTAGTACAACTAGATCTAATAAAAGTAGGATTTTACTGCGTATGCCATTAGATAATGTGAGCCGTCATTGGACATTTATTTATATAACAGCCCCAGCATTTTAAGTAAGTTTTTAGCATTGTGAATGAATTTGAAGACAGTATCTTATCACTAAATATCCGTGCAACTACCTCCACATAGTGACTTTTGTTCACTATTTTGTTGTGTAAACTTTGTTTAACAATATTTGTACAGAAGCCTATATGGTATGTTTATTTGACAGTAGATCTTTATATATATATATATATATATGTGTGTGTATGAAGATAAGAACTTTTATCAGCTCTACCATTTACTATCTGAGCCATTATGTGAGTATAGACTTGTGTAATACAATCATATGATATATATATATCAGCAACTTGGGGAAATTAAGATTTATTCGGTATGAGCCAACTCCGTGATGAAGATCTTCAGTTGTCACAGGTTATGCCAAATGGTGTTGATGAACAAGTGAGAGTCCAGTTTGGAGTTAACTCAGATGGAAATATAAGAGTTAATCTCAACATTAATGTTGGTACAGGACTTCAAGAACAGAGTGAAAGCAATACATCTTCTGTCCAACAAGAAAGTGTTGACAGTAATGCTAATAATAATGAAAGTGTATATGAAATTTATAAAAATGGGTGGCTTAAAAAAAATCCAACATTTGAAAGTAGACGCAAGCCATTTGTGAAAGTACCTAAGCCTGAAAAGTTTTGGGTCATATTTTGTGTTCATGATGATAAGGAGCCAAAACTTGAATTTTATGATAATAGACGTAGTGCCTATTCACATAAGCCTATATTTAATTATGCTTTAATGAATTGTCTTCACATATCACCATCTATTGTAGCTAGTGAAGAAGACTATGAATTTGTTATCACTTTAGATAAGCAAGTTGTAAGGCTTGCAGCAACATCAAGAGAACAAATGACTGAGTGGTTAGATACAATAAGAGAAAAACTGAGAGACTTAGGAATTCTTGAACCTAAAGATAATGTATATAGTAAAGAGCCACTTGTTTACCCAAAGAGACCTGTACAGATAGTGAATAACAGTCAAGTTCAAGTAGGTGTCATACCCAGGCAACTAAGGGATCCAAATTCTCCTCTTCCACCTGTACCAAACCAAATTGATGATACAGTCATTTCTACAGAAAGTCCAGTGTTTTCATCTCCAGTAGCTTCAGGTCTGTCAGTGTCAAGAAACATTTTCAGCTTTGATTTTGTGACAAGTGCATTATATAATAGAAATGGGAGCAGTGATAGGGTAACTATTAATGAAGGTTCTCACTTGAGTAGAGCCAGGAGAGAGAGATCTACAACAGAATCAGGAACTCCTGTTGTCAATTCACTGATTTATGAGTCTGTTTTTCCAAATTTGGCTACCTATACTTCATCTTCAAGAACAAACCGTTGTAGGTCAGAGAGTGAAGCCAGTGGAGAGGTAAGGAGGCCTGAAACCAGCTTCACACATTCAATTTCCTCTTCTGATAACCAAGACCATTCTGTTTCAGGAGTAATTAACACATTCTCTCGATCCCCATTAGTTTCTCGGGAGATATCATCACAACATGGTGAACCATCGTTTAGTGGACAGTTTGCTGAAATGGTGGATCCTGAAAGTGAAAGTGGTTCTTCTGTTCATGCTGTTAATCCTCCTCCTCTAGATGACAGGCGCCCTATGTCCCTGAAAGAAAGTCAAGTTCTCAGACTTCAGAAGGAAATAGCTCATAAAGGTGGAGTTAGACTAGTGTTGAGAAAAAAAGATTGTGTTAATGCTCTTGCTCTAGTTGAAGTGTTTGGGAATATCTGGATTGCTGGCTGGAAACAAAAAGATCATCCACTTTTACACAACACTTTCCACATAGGTGACCGAGTATTCAGTATTGCAGGATGCAAGGTTACATCTGTTTCAGAAGCTCACAAGACAATTAAACATGAGCCACTGTCTGTAGAGTTTATCATTCATAGAGTTCCATTTGGTCAGGTGTTTGCGATAAAGAGAGAATTTGATGGTCAGGATCTGGGATTAGTTAGAGATGGTAATACTGCTGAAATTAGCGAAGTAAAGCCTAATGGGCTTGCAGCTCATCATGGTCTGCCAATCAAAGCACCAGCAGTCCAAGGAGATGCACAGAGTAATTGGGTTTTAACAGAAATAAATCATAGACCACTGAATCTTTTTTTCAAAAACAGTGAAATCTATGATAGACTGAATGCTGTAGGGAAGGACATTTCAATTCTGGTACAACCATATGATTTTGTTAAGATTATGAAGAAGCAACTAAAGGGATTAAGAAACTATAAAGAATATATTGTGCAGTGACAAATATCTTGGTAGGTGTCAATTAACTAGAGTAAAAATATTAAAGGTTAATAATTAAAAGCAGATTTCTTTAGTAATAACAGTAATAATTTTTAATCCTAATTTTTAACTTGGGAGTTTAAAATTTAGAACCCCTACTTTTTAAAACCAGTTGAAATGAACTTCAGTTATTTTAATAAGTTGTTCAATTTTAGAAAAACAAACTTATAAATGAAATAAAGATATTTGTTTTATATGAATTGGTTAGAATTGCGGTATATTTTTCTTTTTTTTTAATTATAAGTTGTAATCTAGTTTAATGTATAAATTAACCAAGATAATTATAAAGCATGCATATTTATGAGTTTTACTAAATGCAATTTAGATTCCATATAAGGTTTTGGTCCTGAGAGTTATTTTTTTTTATATTTTGTTTGGTAGTAGAATATGTGAAAGAAAAATTAAAACAAGACCCAACTTATATGACTCAAAAAGGGAAGTAAACAATATATGAATCTCAGGTTGAAAAATATTTACACATTAGGATGACATGTTTGAAAATTACAAGTGATGGTACATGTGGTAAATCAGTATTTGCTGTTATTTGTTATCATATTGTTCCTTTTTGTTGTGAATGTAACATAATTATGGCATCTAAACAGTTTGTTCAATTAGTTGCTTCCCTTCTCACAATTACTGTTTGTACATAATCACAGTTGCTAATGATAAGGTGTAATCTACATGTATGCAGCTGATAAGAAGTTAGTGAAAGGCATTTTATTACATGTGACAAGTGTGTATTGTTCAGTATTATCTCCACTAATGTACTGTTATACTATATTAAGTGTTTCTCTACCTAAATTACTCCAGATTTTCAGTGAGCTTGAACAGCTCTTCTAGGATCATGTAATATCCACAAACAAATTAGCATCACCAGCCACCACCCTAGTTCTATAGGGAATTCGGAGTTACAAAACTCTCTTCACAAAATGAGAATTTGACTCGACTGGATGATAAACCAGTTGAAATGCATCCTCTTAATTTGTTATCAATTATTCCAATTTTTAAGTTTGAAAAGAAAGATGAAGAAATGGAAGGACAAAATGTATGGATATGATTGCATGATTAATGTATGTAATATTTATGGACAAACTTTCTGAGAAGGATTATTTCAATATTTTGTAAAATGTTTGACAAGATATCTGAGAAACTTTATTTGACAATTGTGTGATTTGCTTACTGAGAGATATCATGATTGAATTATGTTATTACTGTTTTGAATGTTTAGAGGACGAGATGTCCAAGGATTATTTGACTATTGTGTGAAATGTTTAATAAAAGAGATGTCCGTAGAGAATTGTTTTATTATTGTACAGAATGTTTAGTGGACAAGATATTAAAGATTTATTTGACTATTGTATGGATTGTTTAATGACAGAAATGTCAGGGAAGTATCATTTCATTATTATGTAGAATTGTTAGTGGACATGACATCTGAAAAGACGTCCATTAAATATCCCAAACACTAATTCAGATATCCTTCCCTAACATCACATTCAAACTTCTACATTATAGTCAAATAAAAATGTTTGTGAAGTCTTATTTGATTATTGTGTGAAAATGTTAATGGGTGAGGTGTCAGCGAAGGATATTTGATTAATGTATGAAACAGTTAATTGACCATCGTGTCTAATTATAGTATTGAAAAAGGATTGGATGAGCAAATACTGAAGTACTAGGAGTTTAATAAATTAAGAAGCTACTGTAGTAAATGTACTGTGAACATTTCTTACTTAGATATGTGTATGAAATTACTCAATCTCACTGTATAGATACATATTACAGTTTTTGTTAGAAATGCATCTATGTTAGGTGAAAACCATATTGAGTTCATTATTCAGCAATGAGAAAAGATTTATTTAAGAAATAGCACCTCAAAAAGTTATAAAATACATACTGAAGATATATATTTTGTGAAACAAATTTTTTAATTTTTGTTCACTTTGAAAAGTTTTTATGGAAAAATATTGGAAGGTTTTATGTATCTTTAAATTAGTTTGCTTTCCTGTGTTAGGCCATTTTGGAGAATTATTTTTTAACACAGTCTGTAATCAGAGTGAAGAGCCATTGTTTATTTGATTATTATTAGATCAGTATAGTGATGTCACCATGTGCATTTGACTGTATTACCTTCAAACTAATGCTGCTTAGAATAGGCTTAATAGAACAAAATTTGGCTTTCATTTTCTAGTGTTTGAATTATGAATTTTATGTATTGGTTTGTCTTGATATGTGAGAAAGAAGGCCAACAAGAATACAGTGTATGTGGTGTTTATAAATTAGTTTCACTTATTAACATAGAGACCAACTTAAAAGTTTCCTTCAAGTGTTAAAATAAAAGACATCTGTTTCCATAAGTTATAAACATGTTTTACATACCTAAGTCACCAAAAACAAATTTAATCTAAAATACAGTCTAAACTAGGTCTACAAGTGTTACTGTTGTACGTACATTTATGGTATTAACTGTCAAAATTATAACCACTTTTTTTTTAGGAAATACTCTGGATTATTGGTCTTAGTACCCCATAAGAAAATTATTTTTCTACAAGTTTATACAAGGCCATTCAAATAGCAGAGTTGACCTGAATTGGTTCTAGGCTTAGATTTTGCCTGAATTATCATCCTGTGACTGTATTACTCAGATGGATTACTTTGAAAAGTATGTTAAATTAAGTCTAAAATAAAATTGCTACTCCTTTTCTACACTTTGTTTAGTGATATTCATTGCATAATTCTTGAACTATGCCATACTATGATTAAAAATGTAAAATTTGCACGGTCACCTTTACCTTTCAAAATCTTTTTTTTTTTTTTTCTTGTTAGAAGCAAGACTGCTGTTATAAACAAAACACTTAACTGTTGTTTGTGGTCTTTCTTTTCTGTTTTCATTGTAATGCAATTTACACAACTAAAATACAGAAAGCACTGTTGGGCATTATTGTCAATAATATAAACATGTTGCACACCCCCCTGATTACAGACTCCTTGCTTTTGGGCTAAGTTCTAATGAGAAAATTAGTGCTTAATGCAGGCTGTGTAATAAAATTTCTAAACACTATGCTGGTGGACACAATTAGTGTTAATGTAGGCAAAGTGTATCAGTACTGTATTGGAAGATACTTAAGTGTTACGGTGAAATTATGGTGCCTTAACTTTAAAATTTCTGAAGTGATGTCATTAGGTAAACATGCTGTGTGTGTAATTTTCATTGTGTGACTAAATCATTACCAAAAGTGTTACAATTCTGGTGTTACCACAACAAATATCCAGAAGAAGAGTAGAATCGTGTAGTATTAGAAATGTTATTAAAGGGTCATTATCAGTTGTACTACTACATGTGAAGTTTTCTTAATAAATCTGTAGGCTTCAATGAATGCAAAATACAGAAAAATAACTGTACTTTATAATGATTCTCTAGCAAAGAACTGTAGTCTAAAATATAAATTTGTAAATATAGAGAATGTTTTGATTTTTTTCAAGCAGATCCATTAACAAAAACAAAGTATAAATGAAAAAAGAACTACAGATTCACAAATATGGTTTACATCTCAATATCAGATCTAGGAAACTTCATATAGTCAATAACTGTTCAACCTGAAAGCAGTAAAGATTAATATTTGTGATATAAATCACACTAGACTACAGATTTTTTTCTCACCTTCCTCAAAAATTTTTTCATAATTACAAACTTCATTTCAGAGGTGTGTAAAATCAGCTTTTTATTTTTTGTTAATGTCACTTCCATATACTCAAATTGACTGTAACCATTAATAGTATTTAGAAGTTTCTAACAAATTCTTGTGCCTCAAACACCTGTGATTTGAAATCCAGAATAGGCAAATTAAGAGCCCTGAATTTTATTTCTATTGCAAATTTTGTAGTAGTTTATTTATATATTTGTATTTTATACACACAAATAACCATGTATTTCTGTATTATATTTTTCTCATGTACAACTGTGTTTGGTGGTTTAATATTTTAAAATGAGGTTCTGATTATATTAAACTTGTCATATGAATAAGAAACAATGAATTTAATAGCTTGTCTTGTCTTTGTGTGTGTGATGAAAGTCCAAAATCTACTTCATAAGAAAATAGTTGATGCAATGTAAACAGGACAGCTTACAAGTAAGTTCACAACCTTAAAACAAAATTATTTCTACACGTTCAGATGTGCTCTATTAATTACGAATATTCAAACACCATGAACATTGTTTTGTCAAAGATATTAAAATAACCTATAAGCAAGGCTTCAGATTAACTGTAGTCAGCTGGCAAATGCTGGTTATGAATATTTTGAATGTTTTTAGCTACTGACAAATAGTTGATGTGAATTTGTGGCACAATTATTTTTGTATTTCTTATATGAAGAACGAAAAAAAAAATGTGAACTTTAAACACTCACTGTAGAATGTGCCAACAAGCTACCAGAAAGGGTTATCAATTGATTTTCATAGAGCAGTTTTTCCTGAAGTGTGGTGCATGCAACCAGCTTTATTTTTAAATCATTTTGTCCTTCATATACAACTGGTAGTCTTTCTGCAATTTTTTCATTCATGATCACACTTGATGTTCAAATAAACAGTTATTATTTACTTAAAATCACTTTCACAAATAAAAATACTAAAGTCGACAATTCAATTTTTAATACACTGAGTAGTTTATTTACTATATGTTAAATTTCAACCAGATTTTTCACATGCAGCTGACATTGTGATGTTCTACATTCACTGTCAAGAGATCCAAGTTATTTACAGTGAAAGCGTACTTCAAATTTAACCTTTTATGTCTACTCTGAAGAGCCAGTAGAACACAACAGAAGTGGTAGGTTCACAAAGTTGAACAGTGTTACTGGGAATATAATAATGCAAGAAAAGAACTACTAACAACAATAAAGGATGAACAAAAATTTTAATTCACAACATTTTATTACAAGCTTCATATGTACCATGTACCATGTGAATGAAATCAGATCAAGGAGAAATGCTAACATTAAATCTTACAGGTTAAAATAAGTTTAAAAGACTTAGTGACTTAATTTTCCCTTTTTTTTTTTAAAGTAGAACAATACACAGCTCAAGATAATATTCATACAAACTGCCATGGTTTTGACATTTTCTTTCATTACTATACAGGTTGGGAGAAACATCTAGTCAATAAAACTTGCATTTTATCCCAGGTAAAGAAACTTTCTTTACTAAGCAGAGATCCAAGATTTAAACAAGGGGTGTTTAAGTATGAAGAAAAAAACCAAACAAAGATTTTCAAAAGAATTTGTACTTACATTCAGAAAGTCATTTCAGTAAGCATGCCACAAGTGCAGAATAGATTGTTGTCTTCTGAATTATCAAATAAATGTTTACCCTTTATAACACAGGAAAATGACAAAAAAATTGTAGCTTTGTGAATAGCTGTAAAATAATTCAGATAAAATTTTGGACTGAAAAGAAAAAAAAAAGTTAAGTAGTTAAACAAAAATGAAAGAATACACAATGAGAATTGCTATAATATTATAAACTTTTTCACCAACAAAAAAATCTGAGGACCAGAAGAAAATAAATATTTATTTATTATTAAGTGTAGAAGCGACATTGTTATAATTACTTTCAAATAACCCCAAGATAAACAACATAACTGGTATATATTAGAATATAAACATACTTAAAGCTGCTGTTTCATTGTTGGAAATGTGCTTTATCTGAAAAACAAGCATGTCAGTAGTTAGTATTTGCTTGACTAGTAGTAGATATTGTGTTGAATTTTTATTGTCCAGAAGACTTCTTACTCATAGAGGTTCACCAGATCATGATTTAGTTAAATTGTCTTTGTATATATCTGGACATTAATTTAAGAAGATATTTGTTGGGATCACCAGATTTCATGTTATATGTATGAACTGCATACTTATTTTTTAAATTGTAAATTTGCTTGATTTCTTCATTCCAATATTGCTCTAGGGACTTTTATTTCTTGACACCAGCATACTGTGTGTTACTGATATGTTATTTCTCTATTTAGACATGTCTCTTATGGGATATCCTACTAACAAAGGCCAGCAGATGATTCAAGGAAATCGTCAACCCAACACTAACCTTGCCAAATGGTTTGGCAATGAGGTATTAAAAGAGAAGTTACCTGAAATGCCCCCAGTTCCTCTTCAGCGGGCTGTTTTGGTTGAGGAACTTGAACGTCAACAACAAGGACATTCTTTGGAACACATGTAACCATGGCTGGATAATGATGATATGTCCTGTATATAACTAAAATTGTCCAGATTGTGTTGCTACACTCTTTTATTGTCCTTGGTTTTGAATTAAAATATGTTGTCCAGGTACCATTCTATGATAGTGTCTGCCATCACTTCCTGGCTGTGTATAAATGTGTTGGTCCCATATTTTGTGTGTTTGAAAAGCAACATCTACTTTAATCTTATAGCAGGTACACTGTGAATATGCAAACTTCTCCCTGTAGTGAAAATAAAGTTTCTCAACCCGTGACAGAAGCTCCACCCAACTATACGTAATTTCCAAAGCAGTTTTGAAAACCAACTGCACTAATTTGACACATGTTTATAATCAATAGGCATTAATCAAAGAATATGATTATGTACATGTTGGTATGCCAGTTGATATCATAGCACTTAAGTTTTTTTTTTAAAATTTAACCCTACTGTCACGGTTCAAAGGCCATGTCATTCTGTTTGTTGACTTGCATTCGTAATTGTATTGAACTACTATTTTATGAATTTATGTCAATAAGTTTGGTATCAAACTGTATATTATAATTCAAAATTTACTATTACAGATTATTTAACTTCTTAATTTAAAAGTAAATATTAAAAAAACACTTAAACATCGATTTTTTTGTGTCACGTGATATGTTCAATACAGCACTGGTTCAAATTGATGTCAAAATACAAAATTGATAGTTTTATACAAATTAGGAACTCAAATTACTGATATTAACAAGCTAGAATATAAAATAAAAATCCTCCTATCTTTTCTATTTGCTGAGATATTGCTCATGTACTGAATTAAACACAGTGGCCCCCACTCACCTCTTTCCATTTTTTGAAATGGTCCCTCATATACACTTATGTATATGACATGTGAATAACCAATCAAAAGCTGAAAATGTCCCCCTAGTGGCTTTCTCAGCCATATTCAAGTGTTAGGATGCCATCTTGTTCTTTTGAAACAAAATTTAAATTTTGT